AAAATCTTTTTTTGGAAATATCTAGTTGTTTATTGAAATATAAATTATTTTTCATTCTATATTACTTAGATATATGATTTTCCGAAAAAATACTTTTTAGTATTTTAATCACTTGGCTACACCACGCATCAAAATTTAATTAATTAATTAAATTTTGATATTTTTGACATTTTTTATATCAAAATCAAATTTTAAAATTTGATTTTGATATAAAAAATGTGCTATGGTTTTATTCAAGATGTAAAATATCAAGAAATATAGTAAATAATTGTATAAGTTATTTATTTAGATACAGGACAAATTGTTTTATTATGATAACATTTTTGTATCATAAATCTATGTGTGATTCTCTGCTTAAAAAATAACGTTTTTTATTAATAATAATACGAATATAGCTAATTTTTTTTTAATTAATTTAATTTGTTGTTTCATTATTAAATATAAAGCTTTTATGTCCATATTATTTTCACTTCTAATTTAATTTTGTTTATTTTAGAACAGTACATTGTATGATTTAGGTTGGGTAGGGTTTTATTTTTTTATTAATAATAATAGTATTTCCGGAACACTTTCTAAAGTTAAGCTGAAAAAGTTAATTTTTTGTGAAAAAGCTGTCATTTTGAATCCCCCCTGTGGACTGGTAAAGTGTTAAATTATATTGATTTGTTCATTTTTATGGCAGTTTTAAGTAAAAAAAATTGAAAAAATTTCGAAAATTAGTGATTTTTAAATTTGTAATTTTTTTGGAGGTTTCCCCCATTTACGGGGAACGAAGGAAATTTTATCAATTTTTGAGGGTAATGTCTTCGACTAGATACGGTTTGTGATCTTTTGACGTATCGTTTATAGAAATCGGTTCCCTATACTTGTGCCTATTGTGCTTGGTTTTTATAAATAAATCAAAAGATATTGTTCCTAAATAATATTATTAATACTTCTAATGTCAATTAATTCATTTTAGCACGACGAATTGAATGAAATAGGTCTGGCCGGCTTGGTAATACTGTTTAATGGATATAAAACAAATGGAGGTATACGATATAATACATTTAGATATCTATTAAAAGAATTTACAGTGATATACAATATAACAGATAATTATATAGAAAATCTTTTTAACATGGAAGTTGGAAATAGTAAGTAAAACTCTAATTATGATTAAAACTTATAAATACATGTAATCATAATTATGCATATTAATGCTTATTTTGTTACAAGCAATATAATTTAATATAATATTTGTATTTGTTCATAAAATTCGTTCAAAATTATCATGATTTGTTGTATTTTTTATATAATTTAGATAAATAATTATTATTGTAAGGCATAAAATACTTATAATACACTGATTTTTGAAGTCATGCAACTAATTTAACTATAGTTAAATTAGTTAATTAGATTTAAATTTAAATTATACGTTTTTTATTGAAAAAATGACTACAAATCAATAACAAAAAAATTATTTGAGCAAAAAATAAATAAATACATGGCTACTTCTACAATTATAACTCAAAATCCGAGTTATAAAACCAAGTCACATGTATATAATATGGGTAAACATATTGATTTTCAGTGAACATACTATTTTATTTAGTATATTATTTTTTAATTTTTTCCATTTTAATATATATCAAAAAAAAATTTTTGTTATCGTATCATTTTGCGTAATTTTAATAAATTGGAGGGCTTTTTCGAATTCATGCTCAGCCTCTAAATTTTCTTTTGTGGAATATTTAAAAATAAATTTTACTCAAAAATGACTAGAACATTACCAGGAAATATTCTTTATATATTTTGAATAATATGAAAAAATAATCTAACACAAATTTTTTAACATTTACAAACATGCCTCAAAGAGTGTGTCTAAAATAATTAATATAAATTAATTAATGTTTTTTTAAACCTTAAAATTGTATAATAGTTGAAATTTTAACAATTGTTATTTGTAATTTTTTGTTAAAACATTCCATATTTGTGACTATTGAAAACAGCGTCAGTTTCACATCAGGGTATTATTTTTTATTTTTACCTTTTACAGTAGGAGGTCGGTCTGGCCTAGTGTATAAAAACGTGTTTCGGCGTAAGAGGTCCCCAGTTTGATCAATAAGGTGCCCACGAGATTTTTCTTGCGATTTTCTCATTAATGGTTTTTGGTCTTTGGTGCAAGTCGGCCATAATACCCATCCAGTCCATCATTGGCTTAGCCAAGAACCATCTTTGACTCACTAACATGTGAAAGAGGGTCACCACCTTCTGTAGCATGTTAAATTTGGGAAACAAAAGAATGTAAAACTGATCATTATACCTTTTAAAATACGCGATTGCGCTGCGTTAATTATAACGAGATGATTAAGTTATCTCATTATTGTTGTATTTAGAAATTTTGTATGGGGATCATAATAGCTTTTAGAACAAAGAGTATTGGGGAAACTCATCCCTTCACTACTACTGCGATTTTATGTGGCATGGCCTCCTCGTCCAGACTACATGTACTCGCTGAAAACATGTTTTCACATAACATTAAAGATGTGAAGTTAATTATATTTATATGTTTTGAATAATTAATGCTCTGTATTTTGAAAAATAAAATTAATGTAATATATTAGAGTAAAATATACAGTAAATCAATCAATAATAATTTATAAATAATAAATTGTATAAAAAATATTTTGAGTGTAGTTATCCCGGGTGACCCTAGATAAACTGGACACATTTGGGTAACTGGTGAAAAAAATTTATTCTTGGGACGCAATCAGGACATTTTAAAAAAAAGGATATATATTTTGTTTTGAAGCATAAAAATAAATTGTGTTGAGATATAAACAATTAATAATTCTAACTATATATATTTCAACAAAAATATTCCATAAACTTAAAGTGTGATTTATGATGTATATTCATGGAAATTTGAAATATTTTGATATATTCATTTCAAACAGCACTAATACATCATGTATAATTAAAATGTCTTGGTAAGTCTTATTTGATTTTCAAATAATATAAAAAACTCTATCTGGTGTAAATTATTATTTATAAATAATTAATAATTTTATAACATTAAGTGATAATTATAAATGCAATTATTATAGGTATTAATATTTTACTTTTAAATAAAAATAAATTAATAGCATATAATTTTTACTTCATTAAGTAGATGGAACTATGAATCAGAATCAATTTTAGAAACAAACAACAAGTTGTGTCAAAAATATTGAGCAAAAAATTAAACGTATTTATTGGAATTTATATGAAATAGATGAAAATTTTCCTCCAGAAGAATTAATAAATAATCTTCAAAGACATGTTATCCACCTCACACGTGACGATGCTATTATTTTAATAAATAAGTTTAAAAATACAACCATATCCTGGAAAGGTAAAATAAATATTTCGTATAGTTTATTTGACTTATACTACCAATCTAAGACCAATGTCCTATCTTTCAAAAAGTTTTTTTCACTCCATGATCGAAAGTTAAATCATCGTTAGGAATATTAATAGCAATTTAATTTACTGAATTTATTTATCACCAAACCAAATGAAAACATTTTCAATTAATTCCCATAGTCCATTAAGCGTCATTAAATTTCACTTTCACGACTTCTTATTGTCCCTTAGTTTGTTATAAGAATTTCAATTTTTACATTATATAAAATAAATTTTCACTAAATAAAATTATGTATCAGATATTATTTTTAGTTAAGTAACTTTTAAAATAAATAATTCCACCTGATATACATGATATATTTGTAAGATAACTTTTTATTCATTACCCAGAAAAAGAAAAGCCATATGCCTATGGGTCATAATGGAGTTGAAGTTTTGAGCAGGTGTTAATATTTTTAGGAGATGACTATATCTAAGTGAAAAGTTTTTCTATATAAATTTATTTTACCGAATATAATTATACAAATATAACAGCATAAAATAACATAATTTTTAAACCTCACACTTTTTTCTTACATTTAATTATAATAATATCTCATAATTTTTCATATATGTCATTTATAGAAACTCTTTATGGGATGAAATTATTAAACCTTTGAATATACACTTATCAATATTTATAAATTCTATTTACACTTATGTACAAATATAATCTGATACAAATAAAGAGTGAATTGATAATTATAATTTTGAAAGAAATGTTTTTTTTAATTTGTTTAGTTGTATATATTTTACACTTTATGTAAAATTATTCATTATTAAATAAATCATAGATCTACCTCTTATGCTATATAAATGTATATTTTAAGTTTAACAACTGATATTATTATTTATTTTAAATTAATAGCATTTGATTTTTTTATTTAAATTTATTCATTTTTGTGATATAACACTTTAAATTTTGATATTTTGAAATGACATGTATAAAATAAGAAGGGCTATAAAAACAGGGAGCTAATCGTAGCATGAAGTATTTATACTTGTAGTATAATCTATTAAGTAAATATAATTCATAATATAAAGTAAAACATTTTTTTTAGGATACAGTATAACATGCAGTTATTAATACTGTGAAAAATGTATTACTAATAATTAGTTCTGTGTTTAATTTATAGTACTATTTATCAACTTGATTATTTTTTTACTACAAAAATTACTAAGTTTTTATGACTTATTTAAACAATAAAAATATATACTAGGGAGTATTAAAAAAATACGTAGTCTTAAAAGTTATATATGTTGTAATTGAAAAAGTTAATTTAAAAGAACCTTTATGAGGCATAATATTTGATAAATATAAAAAAAAAAAAATACCCAGCACAGTGGGGACATGGCATAGTTAAGTTCAGTATACATTAAATCTGACAGTGATTAAAATCACTATCATAAGAAACGCTTCGATGCAAATCTATAGATAATGTTTAATTCTAAGAAAATAGTGGATAATTACAAAAGCAACATGATCTGCTAGTTCCTTATTTATATCCTGGTTAACTATTTCCTTACAATATACTTCAAAAATATTAAAAATGAATGATTTTAATTGTTTGTATGAATAAAACTGGTTAAGCTAATTTTTCTTTGAATAAGGAATATTTACTTAATTTTATTTAAGAAAATTAATTAAGGTTTTAATATAAAAAATATTATTTTGATTTATTAATATTTGAAAAAGTTATGGCAGTTTTAAGTACAAAAACCATTCTGATATAAGGTGATTTTTATGGCAAACATTACATTTTTTTTTTAATTTCGACAGCCATTTGCACATAAAAGATAAGGTATCGGGAGAATTTTTTTTTTTCATTTTATAGTATATGATATAACCTTTGATTTGATATATGTTTAATGGACGCAGTATTTTTGGAACATTTTCAAAAATTAAGAGTAGGGTAATATAGAGAGAGCTGCCCCCCGCCTCACCTACTCAACTTTCTTTACCTCGCTGCCAACAGTCAAATTTTTTTGAGTAAAACATACATCTGACACAATCTCGTTTGCCCGAATAATAGAAACCCGTTTTAGCCATTTGAGTAGGTGTTCAATAGTTTAGTTTCCATCCATCATTGAATGTTATCAGACGACATTCATACATTTCTAGATCACTTAAAGGTACACCGACGGTAATAACCATTATAATTCTTATTACCATTATGGTTATAATGGTATAAATATAGACTTAAATTAACACAATACCAACAAGTTAAAGTAACGTCTGTTTATATGGTAACGATTATAGCGCTATGCATACACCATGATGAAATTATTAACTAACTTAAACACAACCGATAACAATAATTAGTCTAATTGTTACCGAAAGATATGTTACAAACAGTTGTAAACACGTTCAGACGGGGTTCAAACATATATGAACGCGTTCAGTCAGGTTTAAACATGTTCAGACTTGTTGAATCGAGATCATACGATTCCAGGAAAACATGGTATGCTGTTCTGTAAACCGGCATAGTGTCATCACTTTAATATTGTCTAACATCTAATTAATCATATATTATATTATAATTTATGAATTAAGATATAACACTACTTTTTTACCCTACTAGATATATAGTAACCAGTATAGTATTAGTACTACTATTTCTTAGAAATGGCGGCTATATATTCGATGTTAATTATACACAGACGGCATCGTAATTATTTTCATAAAATACAAATGCTTATGAGTGTTATAGTATAGTAAAATCTTTGATAATGAAAATATGATCACCTATAATAATATAATATATATTACGAATGTGAACCGGAATGAATACAAGCGCCGTCTTTATACAATTGATTCTATAATTATAATTAAATCATAATAAAATTAAAAAAAAAAAAATATATATTAAACACATACCTTATCATGAATCTGAGTTTGATTTTGTTCTGCGTCAATCATGGAATATTGGATTGGGTTGGGCTGTGGTCGATTTTCGATATTTATGTAATAATCAACCATACTCCAAATATCAGGCAATAATTCTTAAGACTGTGAAAATAGAGTAATTGAATTAACAAAACATACATAGAGATTTAAAAATGACTTACCATATCTTGTGAAAATTGTTAAATTTTTATATTATTTAGAATATTAGCAAATTCGTATTCACCAAGTACTGGAGACAGC